GGTGGTACACGCCTGTAGTCCCAGCTACTCAGGAGGCTGAAGCAGGATGATTGCTTGAGCCCAGGTGACAGAGCAAGACTCTGTCTCAAAAAAAAAAAAAAGATTTAAGGTTAGAGATGTATCTCAAGAACCTTTTCCTTTAATAAGGAAAATTATATGGATTTTGATTTTCTATACATTTCTGGCTCTTATGACTTCTTTTCACTTTAATTTTTCAAAAGTTTCATTTTTGGTCAGAGATTTCAGGGGAAAATACGTTTTGATCTACACCATATTATTCTTCAGTTATATCTGATCTCTCTGCAGACCAGAGTCTGGAGAATATTCTGTGTACTTTTATTTATTTATTCTGTTTCGAGATTAAGCCACATTTTCCCTGTACATAGCTGGCATTTTATTGGCCTCTGGAGAATTCCTTTTCTGCATTGCATTTTGGCAATGCATATGAAATTTAATTGCTGTGGATACTATAAAGGGTGTTTATCATTACAATTTATGATGTGATATTTAATGATGTATGGGAGAAATTTTCTCTGGACCCAGTTGTGCTTTTCCTGAATTGCTATTTGGTTTTTACCTGAAGGATACTGAATATTCAATTGACTGTATTTTTCTCTTTGTATTGATGCTAGACCATTTAGAGCTCAATTTGTGGCCTACCTTCAAGTGTTTATGTATTTTGTGTGCTAGTCATGTTCTTGGTTGCCTCTTCCTTTTCTCTTTTCTACCTTTATTTTCCTTATTCTCATTTTTCTAAGTTTTAATTTTTCTATATTACTAAATTATGTGCATCTTTGTAAGCCTTTTTGGAATCAGGTTGGGATATAAATAAATAAAATAATGTATTCTTCATCCTTTTATCTCATTTGTTTCTCTTTAGACACGTTTATATCTTTATTACATTTTTTTAAAAGTTGTAGAGACCAAAGCTGCACATTGGATAAAAACCCTGAATATTTTTTGTAGAGATGGATTCTTGCTGTGTTGTCCAGGCTGGTCTCAAACTCCTGGCCCCAAGTGATCCTCCCAAAGTGATGGGATTATTGGCTAGAGCCACCACACCCGGCCAGGAATGATTATTTTCTTTACAAAAAAGCATACTACTTGGTTTTGCTTATATTCTGAAAACGTATTATTTCAGATTTCATTGGCCTCTCCATTAGTTTTGCTGATACAGGGAACCCCATTGATTACTAATTGTCACACTGCCTCCTTCGTTCAATACTCCATTATACACAGCAGGAAGGCTAATATTAATAATTCCACAATTTTATCCTTGAGTTCTCATTGAACTGTCTGGTGGATACTTCTCAGAGTTGCTTATTTATGTTATATAATTGGATTTTTACAAAATCTCTAATCTTAAAACTTTTAAACTGTAACTTTTTAAATAGTTGAACTCCTATTTTATATCATATATAAAACTTAATTCCAGATAGATTAAAGATTTAAATGTGGTCACCAAAACATTAAAAATCTTACAACATCTGGGAGACTAGACCTAGAAGATCAAAGGATAGAGGGAGATATCTCAACCAAGATAGAAAATGAAAGCACTGGCTGGGCGCGGTGTCTCACACCTGTAATCCTTGCGCTCTGGGAGGCCGAAGCTGGTGGATCATTTGAGCTCAGGAGTTTGAGACCAGCCTGAGCAAGAGCGAGACCCCGTCTCTAAAAATAGAAATAAATTAGCTGGACATT